TTCTTTGCTCCTGCCTGTGCTGGCCTCCAATCATGATCCTCAGTTCTCAGCCTCCTGTAGGATTCCCGGCATGTGAGCCACGAAACCCTGGTTCTCGTTACTTTCTTCAGACTCAATTCTGATCGGTCACAGGACCTGAGGTGTTCAAATATTCTCTCACGTTCGGGCCGATCGTTAGAAGCGGGAAGTGGAGGCTGTTCACAGATGCCCTCCAGGAAGTGCGGCGTGAAGTGGGGAATGACAAACAGGTACGGTGTTGTGACCACAACTGAGAAAGCTTCACGCGCCCCGCACTGCGCTGAGAAGCCAGGTCAAGGGGCAGCGGGCCTGTGCCTGTCTGCCACGGCTTGCGGAATCCAGCTCCTTGCTCTCAGTTTGGCCTGCGGGGGTGAGTGGCTGGGACTCAGGGGAGACGCTCCCGCACTGGGCCTGGGGTCTGCACACAGGAGGAGCTAGCTGGGGGACATGAGTGTTCAAGCCTGCTCAATGTAATCTATTAAAGGGCTGGTCGAACGAGCTGGGGGAGTGATCACGAGTCCATCTCTGGATTCAGGATAAAACGGGGTCAGCCGTGGGGTAGAACCAACCTGGTCTCAGACCCCGGAGGCCCAGGGCTGCGGTTCCAGCCGCTCAGGAGGCTGAGATCCCAGGATCGAAGTTCACAGTCATCCTGGCACACGAATCCAATGAACCAGCCAGAAGCCTGAAGTGGAGCTGTGGCTCAGGTGGTAGAGCGCCAGGTCAGGGACAGTGCCCAGACCCTGAGGTCAAGTCCCAGTACTGTCACGTGCACGCATCACACACACACACACACGTGCGCGCACGCACACACACACACACACACACACCCAGGAATGAGCTCTGACAGCCCAGGGGAGGAAGGTTCCAGCAGGAAGGGGAGGGAGGAGCACCGGGGGGCCTGGCTTGTTCCCTCGGCCTTGCTCTGGGCAGCCGGCAGCGGGGAGGTTGGGACTCATCCCCGGGCTGACAATCCCAGGCCGGTCACAGCCCCTCCGGCCCTTCCGGTCCCGGTCCCGGCTCCCCTCACCCTCCCAGGCTGACCTGCCATCTGTGCACACGCGTGTGTGCACCAGTATGGGGGGTGTGCACCAGTATGTGTGGTGTGTATGTGCACATGTCTGTGTGCACCAGTGTGTGGGGCGTGTGTGCACAGGTCTGTGTGTGCACCAGTATGGGGTGTGTGTGCACGTGTCTGTGTGTGCACCCGTGTGGGTGTGTGTGTGTGCACGTGTTTGTGTGTGCACATGTCTGTGTGTGTCAGTGTGTCTGTCTGTCTGTGTCAGTGTGTCCTTGCTGTGTGTGTCAGTGTGTCTGTCTGTGTCAGTGTGTCCTTGCTGTGTGTGTCAGTGTGTCCTTGCTGTGTGTCAGTGTGTCTGTCTGTGTCAGTGTGTCCTTGCTGTGTGTGTCAGTGTGTCCTTGCTGTGTGTGTCAGTGTGTCTGTCTGTGTCAGTGTGTCCTTGCTGTGTGTCAGTGTGTCTGTCTGTGTCAGTGTGTCCTTGCTGTGTGTGTCAGTGTGTCCTTGCTGTGTGTGTCAGTGTGTCTGTGTGTGTCAGTGTGTCCTTGCTGTGTGTGTCAGTGTGTCTGTGTGTGTCAGTGTGTCCTTGCTGTGTGTGTCAGTGTGTCCTTGCTGTGTGTGTCAGTGTGTCTGTCTGTGTCAGTGTGTCCTTGCTGTGTGTGTCAGTGTGTCTGTCTGTGTCAGTGTGTCCTTGCTGTGTGTCAGTGTGTCCTTGCTGTGTGTGTCAGTGTGTCCTTGCTGTGTGTCAGTGTGTCCTTGCTGTGTGTGTCAGTGTGTCCTTGCTGTGTGTCAGTGTGTCCTTGCTGTGTGTGTCAGTGTGTCCTTGCTGTGTGTCAGTGTGTCCTTGCTGTGTGTGTCAGTGTGTCCTTGCTGTGTGTCAGTGTGTCCTTGCTGTGTGTCAGTGTGTCCTTGCTGTGTGTGTCAGTGTGTCTGTCTGTGTCAGTGTGTCCTTGCTGTGTGTGTCAGTGTGTCCTTGCTGTGTGTCAGTGTGTCCTTGCTGTGTGTGTCAGTGTGTCTGTCTGTGTCAGTGTGTCCTTGCTGTGTGTCAGTGTGCACTTTCTGAACTTCCGTTACTCGGGGCTGGTGCACGCAGCTTCCCTTCCCTTCCTCCACGTGTGAGGAGGGTGGGGGGGGACACAGGGGAGGAGGGAGAGGGAGGGGGGGGGAGGGGGAGGGGAGGGGGGGAGGGGGAGGGGGGAGGGGGAGGGGGAGGGGAGGGGGAGGGGAGGGGGAGGAGGGGAGGGGGAGGAGGGTGGGGGAGGAGGGAGGGGGGAGGGGGAGAAGGGGAGGGGGAGGGGGAGGAGGGAGGGAGGAGGGAGGGGGAGGGCCGTCCCCCTCCCGCCCCGCCCCGCGCTCCGCGGCGGCCCCGCCCCCGCTCCCACAATGCCCCGCGGCCGAGCCCGTGCCGGCCGGGCGGGGCGGCCGCGGGGGGCGCCCTGGGCCGCGGCCCGCGGAGGGGGCGGAGCTCGGCCCGCCCGGCCCGGCGGCCCGGAGCCGACGCGCCAACGCCAGCGCCGCCGCCGCGGGCCCCGCACCGCCGCCCGGGAGCCCCGCGCCGCCGCCGAGGCCGGAACCGTGAGTGCGGGGGAGCGAGTGCGGGGGAACCGTCAGTGCGGGGCCGGTCGGGGGACTGCGGAGGGGGTCCGGCCCGGCCCGGGGACGGTGGGGGCCGGGCCCGGGCGTCCCCGCGCCCCCCGCCCCGCGTCCCCGGCCCCCCGCCCCGGCCCCGCGTCCCCGCTGCGGACGGCCCGGCCCCCCGCCCCGGCCCCGCGTCCCCGCTGCGGACGGCCCGGCCCCCCGCCCCGGCCCCGCGTCCCCGCTGCGGACGGCCCGGCGCGGCTCGCGGCTTCCCGCGGGCTCCGGGTTCGAACTCTTGGCCGCCGCCGGGTGGGGCGGCTCCGCACGCCGCGGCGTCGGGCCGGACCTCGGCGGGGCCTCCGGGGCTGGGCCGCCCGGTCCGCGCGGGGCCGAGTCCGCGCGGGGCCGAGTCCGCGTCCGCGCGGGGCGGGAGCTGGGGATCGGCCCGGGAGGGGCGAGAGTGAGTGTGAGCGAGTGTGAGAGTGTGTGTGTGTGTGTGAGTGACAGTGTGAGGGTGTGCGGGTGTGAGTGGCGTGTGAGCCAGTGTGTGCGTTGTGAGGTGTGGGGGTGAGTGTGTCAGTGTGGGAGGGTGTGGGGGGCGAGTGTGTATGAGTGTGACTGAGCGGGTGAGCGTTACTGTGTGAGTGAGTGTGAGGGTGTGTGGGTGGTGTGTGTGAGTGTGATCGGCCCGGGAAGGGGTGTGTGAGTGTGGGGGATGAATGTGGGTGTGTGTGAGGTGTGGGGTGAGTGTGTGGTGTGGAGGATGAGTGTGGTGTGGAGGATGAGTGTGTGAGGTGTGGGGTGAGTGTGAGTGTGTGAGGTGTGGAGGGTGTGTGTGTCTGTGGGATGAATGTGGGTGAGTGTGTGTGAGGTATGGGGGTGAGTGTGTGTGAGGTATGGGGGTGAGTGTGTGTGAAGTATGGGGGTGTGTGTGTGTGAGGTGTGGGGTGAGTGTGTGAGTGAGTGTGTGAGGTGTGGAGGATGAGTGTGTGTGTGTGTGTGAGATGTGGGGGGTGAGTGTGTGTGTGTGAGGTTGTGGGGTGAGTGTGAGATGTGTGAGGTGTGGAGTGTCTGTGTGAGTGTGTGCTGTGTGAGTGTGTGTGAGTGTGCTGGCTCACACCCAGGCCCTTGCACTCCCGGCTCCACTCAGCTTCCCCCTGGGCCACAGCCCCCTGGGTTCGCGGCCTCGGGGACCTGGCCGCCCGGGCCGGCTTTGAACCGTGGTCCCCAGGCCTCAGCCCCGAGTCCCCAAGCCGCCTTGCTGGGTTAGGTGCCGGGCCTGCGGGTGTCACCAGTGTCACAGCCACACCACGCTGTGCACGCCGGAGGTCTGCGGTTCAGAGCCAGCTGGGGCAGGAAGGACGCACAGCCCTGACCTCCAGAGAACCGGTGAAGTCGGCCAGGGAGCTCTGGTGGCTGAGCTCCAGCCTTGAGCAAGGCCCAGGGTCCAGGCCCAGGGTCCAGGTCCAGGGACGGTGCCCAGGCCCAGGGTCCAGGCCCAAGGTTCAAGCCCAGGCCCAGGGTTCAGGCCCAGGGTTCAAGCCCAGGCCCAGGCCTAGGGATGGGGCCCAGGGACGGTGCCCAGGCCTAGGGATAGTGCCCAGGCCCAGGTTTCAAGCCCAGGCCCAGGGTCCAGGCCCAGGTCCAGGCCCAGGCCCAGGGACGGTGCGCAGGCTCAGGGTTCAAGCCCAGGCCCAGAGTTCAGACCCAGGCCCAGGGTCCAGGCCCAGGCCCAAGGTTCAAACCCAGGCCCAGGGTCCAGGCCCAGGGTTCAGGCCCAGGCTCAGGGTTCAAGCCCAGGCCCAAGGTCCAGGCCCAGGGTCCAGGGTTCAAGTCCAGGCCCAGGGTCCAGGCCCAGGGTTCAGGCCCAGGCCCAGGGTTCAAGTCCAGGCCCAGGGTCCAGGCCCAGGGTTCAAGCCCAGGCCCAGGGTCCAGGCCCAGGCCCCGGGTTCAAGCCCAGGCCTAGGGTTCAGGCCCAGGACTGGCACCAAAAAATAAGTAAAGAACGCTTGCTTTCTGTGACACTTTTAAAAGCGGGAGGCTGTTTTTCCAGCCTTTCTCTCTGGCTCTGTGGCTGACAGGAAGAGCAGCCCTGCATTTGTGCCTTGTTGAGTGTTCCTCTCTGCTGTCCATTGGCTCACCATCTAAGCAAGTGTTTCTCTCTGGTAGGCCTCCTTCCCCCCAAGTACATGGCTAAAATAACCACACTTGTTTCCATCAGCACAGGATTCACTAGGAGGGGAAAGTACTTGTGCTTTCCTGTGTACCAGTGTCCTGCAGCAGCTAGCAGCTTCGCAGTGCTTGGCTTCCAAGAGAAGCCAGAGAAACTCGAGTGAGATTTCTGTGGGACGCAGCACTGTCCAGACCTGGGGCGATGCCACTAATGACCGTTTGACCAGAGAGAAGAGAAAAAGAGGGGCGTGACTAAAAGTAGGCGCTTTGCCCAGGAGGAGACCTCTCTCTCTCTCAAGAAGTTTTAGGTAAGCCTGGCACCAGTGGCTCACGCCTGTCATCCAGCCACTCAGGAGGCTGATACCTGAAGATCCCAGTTCAAAGCCAGCACTGGGAGGGAGAGTCCATGAGACTCTTATCTCCAATGAATCGCCAGAAAACTGGAAGTGGTGCTCTGGCCCAAGTGGTAGAGCTCCCTCGCCTTGAACACCGAAGCCCAGGGACAGGCCAGAGTTTGAGCTGCAGCACTGGCAAGGAAAAAGTTTGAGGTAAAGCTAGCACCTCCCAAAGCCCACAGAGGAGTTTTGTTTGTTTTTATTTTGTTCTCTTTTTTGTGAGGGCCTGGCTTCCATCTCTTAGCCTTTTTTTGCTCAAAGCTGAAGCTCTACCACTTGCGCCACACCTCTAGTTAGTTCCCTGCTTTTGGCTAGTTAACTGGAGATAGGAGTCTCAAGAGCTTCCCTGTCTGAGGTAGCTTTGAACCAGCATTTCAGCCTCCTCTCTGAGCGCGCCCGTCCACCCTCCTCACTGGGTAGGGTTAGGGCCCACAGCTGCCCAGCTTGCTGGGAAACCTTTCTAGGTATTGCTATTTACATACACTAATTTGCTTATTTTCTGTTGGTCCGTCGTGGGGCTTGAACTCAGGGCGTGGGCGCTGTCCCTGAGCTTTTTTGCTCAAGGCGAGCACTCTACCCCCTGAGCCGCAGCAGTCTCACGGGCTTTTCCTGCGTGGCTTTGAATTGTGATCCTCTGGGTCTCTGGGATGACCCGCCTGAGCCGCCAGCACCGGGCTTTGCATGTAGGCTGGGATGAAGCGGTAGCTCTGTCACTGGCGTGTTTATTAGTGGTGCTTTCACCTCTGCTTGTTCGCGATCGCTGGTACTGTTTCCTTCCTCACCGCACCTTCTCCCGAGGGCTTGGCCATTCCATCCGGTCTCGGACATCCGGCCTTCCAGCCATCGTCAGTGTGCGTGCGGAGATTTTGAAGTTGATTCTGCATCTTCTTTTTGCTGAGCAGTCTGGATCCTAGTGTTTAACAGGCTGAGTGATCTTGGGTGGGAAAGCCTGGGAGGCATTTTTGGCTCATTGAAAAGGACATAGTTGTTAATCTCTGGCCACAATCTTAAAAGCTTAAATTTTTTTTGAAAACAAAAACACACATGTTCCCTGCCTTCCTAGCCTCTCATTTTCTAGTCAGGACCACGGTGCTCTACTTCGTTTTGTTAGACTTTTTACTTTACCCGGATGCTTATTTAGACCTAATTTTACCTGTATGCAAATCCACAGTGGCTGGGTAGGAATGCACCTCAGGATTTGTTTGTTACTGGCCTGCTCTGTGGCCTCAGGACATTTGCTTCACAACCAGCCACCGTGGAGAAAGTTCTAGCTGAGAAACTTTCACAGGTTTTTCCCCCCTCACTTGCACATACCTACTGGCGACCTCGGTGACCTTGAACAAATTACCTGGTGTTAACACCAGTAATACTTATTACCTACTTATTTCTCACCCTTGCTACAAGATTCAGAAGACACATTCAAATAGATCACAAAGTATATTACAGTTAACTCCAGATCTGTGCAGACTTTGTGCCTTGAAAATATTTTCTTGTGGCACTGGTGGCTTGTGTCTGCAATCCCAACTACACGAGGCTGAGATCTGAAGATCATAGTTCAAAACCAGCCCAGGCAGGAAAGTCTGTGAGGCCTTTATCTTGAAGTAAATACTAGAAAACGGAGTGGAGCTATGTGTGGTTCATGTGGTAGAATGCAAGCTAGCCTTGACCAGAAAACTCAGGAAGAGCATCCAGGCCATGAGGGCCAGCATCAAAAAAGTAAAAAGTAAACATTAAAAAACCTTATTCAGCATATGTTTTACCTCCATTTTGAAAATAAATCTTGATGTAACTGTTGGTTGTGATTAAGAGGAGAGTTGTGATCATTTTCTGCCAGGTTTTATCCATGCTCTGTGTATTTTGTCCTTGGCTTTTGATTACTCAGTTGTGCGTGTGTTTTTCTTTTCTCTCTGTGTGTGCCAGTACTGGGGTTTGAACTTAGGGCCTTGCTTGCTGGCTTATGAGCATTTCTCGCTCATGGCAGGTACTCTACCACGTGAGCCGAGCCTCTACTTGTGGCATTTTGCTGGTTCATTAGAGATAAATGTGTCATGGACTTTCCTGCTGGGGCTGGCTTTGAACCGGAATCCTTCGATCTCAGCTTCCTGAGCACCTGAGATTGTACAGGTGTGAGTTACTGGTGCCTGGCTTTCTTCTACACCGTGTCTCTGCGTTCTGCCAGTGTGAAGGAATTTGTGCTTCCTGAAATTTGAGATTAATGCCTTCATGTAATAGACGTTTCAGATTTGATCTGACTCCTTGCACGCTCAATAATATGTGGCGATTTCATTTAGGCTGATTCATGCCCCAGTGACTTATTTCTTGCTGTTGTTAAATGGTCCATTGTAGAAATAAACAGGGATTTGTTTGTGTGCTTATCTGTTAATGGACATTTGGGTTTGACTCTGGGGCTGATGTATCTTCGCTTTTTCAAAAAGAGGCCAACAGTTTCCAAAAGATAGTCTCACTGACTTATTTATATTTTTGCCAGTAATGGGATTTGAACTCAGCACTTTGCCAGGCTAGCATTATACTGTTCCGCCCCATTTCTCCCTCCCTCCCTCTTTCCATCTTTCCTTCCTTCCTTTCTTCATCCCTCCCTTCCTCCTTCTTCCCTTCCTGTCTTCCTCTTCTTTCCTAGCACTAGAATCTGAACTCAAGGCCTTAAACGGTCCTTGGAGCTGTTCCTCCAGCTTCCTCTTTTTAAAATTCTTTTATTGGGGGGGGGGATTTGAACTCATCAAGGCCTGGGCTTTTGAGTGGTGCTCTACCGGTTGAGCCACACCTCCAGTCCAGCGCTTTTCAGAATAATTAGACAAGGAGTCTTGAGACTTTGTTGCCCGGGCTAGTCTTAAACCTGGATACTCAGATCTGTTTTGTGAGTAGCTGGGGTTACAGGTATGAGCAGCTGGTACCTGACTTTCTGGCTCCTTTCTAGTGACTTTTGAAAAGTAGGAGTTGTTACTTTGGATGAAGCCCAGTCTATGCATTGTGTTCTTTTATAGATTGTACTTCTTTTTTTTTGGGGGGGGGGGGGAGGGTCCAGTCGTGGGGCCTGAACTCTGGGCCTGGGCGCTGTCCCTCAGCTCTTCAGCTCAAGGAGAGCGCTCTACCACTTGAGCCACAGCGTCACTTCCGGCTTTTTTTTTTCTGCTTATGTGGTGCTGGGGAATCGAACCCAGGGCCTCATGCATGCAAGGCAAGCACTCTACCACTGAGCCACCTTCCCAGCCCTAGATTGTACTTCTGATAGCATACTTAAGGAATCTGTTTTTCTGTTTTTTTTTTTTCTAGAAGATTGATAGCTTTAGGTTTTCGATTCAGATCTATACTTGTTTTGTGTAAATTGTTATATGAGGGAGCATCAACGCTTATTTTCTACATACAGAAATCCAGTTCTTTCAACATTGTTTATTAAAAAGAGTATTTTTCCTCTATTGAATTACTTTTTCCCTGTCTCTAAAAATCTGTTTTTATGTTCCTTTCTACTGTACCCATTGACTTTCATAACTAATTACTGCAAACTAAATGAAGAAGAACTAGGTCCAGTTCTTTGTTTGGCTGCATGCTGGGCAGATGTTCTACCGCTTGAGCCACACTTCCAGCTTGTCTTTTTGCTGGTTATATTACAGGTGGAGGCTTTTAGACTTTTCTGCCCAGGGCTGGCTTTGAACTGTGATTCTCTGGATCTCTGCCTCCTGAGGAGTTCAGATTACAGCTCTGAAGCACTGGCGCCAGGCCAAATCCAGTTCTTTTTTTTTTCTTTGATGTTGGTCATGGAAGCTTGAACTCAGGCCTGGCACTGTCCCTGAGCTCTCTCGCACTCTGCGGCTTTGAGTCACAGTACCACTTCGGGGTTTCTGGTGGTTTTAATTGGAGATAAGAGTCTCCACGGCAGCCCAGGCTGGCTTTGAGTCACGATCCTCAGATCTCAGCCTCCTGAGTAGCCAGCATGACAGGCGTGAGCCACAGTGCTCAGCTTAAATCCAATTCTTGGTAGTGTGTTTTTGCCACGTTTACTAAAACTTCCTAAAAAAATCCTTCCGCAGTGTGGAAACTTTCCAGACTTAAACATTCCATCGTCGTTTCCTTTGTCTTTTATTTATTTTCAGTAGTTGTACTGAGGGGTTTCATTTCAACAAGACTTTCCTTTGTATATGCCGATGTTATAAGAATAAACCGAAACTTCCTGTTTGAGAAACTTCAAAGCCTTTAGATGGTTTTCTTCATTTCTCTCTTTGGAAATGCTCTAGCCTAGATCTTCCCCTTTGATTTATTTTTTCTGGTGCTTTTAGTCCCTTTCTTTTGTTATTTATTTACTGACTGACTTACTGACTTATTTTGTGCTGGTCCTGAGGCTTGAACTCAGGGCCCGGGCACTGTCCCTGAGCTTTTTCTCTCAAGGCTGGCGCTCTGCCACTGGAATTACAGTCCACTTTGGCCTTTTTGGTGTTTTGTGGCGAGTTACAGGGTTCTCATGGATTTCCTTCCTGGGCTGGCTTTGAACAGCCATCCTCCAGACCTTGGCCTCCTAAGTAGCTGGCCTTGCAGGCATAACCACAGCGCTCAGCTTGTTTTTTGAGGTAGCTACTGGAGTGAATGCACACTGAACTCACCTGCCTGGCTGTGCTCTGGGGCAATCCTGAGGACCTATTACCTTCAACGATTAATGTCTCGCTCACCATTACGTTACAATTCAGGGTTGATTGCCGCTTACCCGGAAGACCCTCCTGTCCCCCAGACTCTTCTTTCTGTCTGCACAAATCCCTCATCCTCCATCCTGACAGCCTGGCAGCAGTGTGCTGGGGCTCCGGGCTCACCAAGATCGCTTCTAGCATGTTCTTTCTCAGCCAGCTTCATACAGAGGGCGTCGGTTTCTGTTTTTTATTTTTAGTGTGTGTGTGTGTGTGTGTGTT